CAGCTATTTATGAGGGCAGGGAAGCAGGAAAAACATTCATGTAACATTCCGCCCACTGGCAGTGAACACCAGGTGGGGGATTTGGACTAAAGATTTAACTGAATGTTAGACATATTCTAGAGGCAGTTTAGGAAGAAGTCTATAGAATGAAAAAATAATTGATAAAATGAATATACTTATTTTATCTCATCATAGCCACTATCAACTAATGACAAATTAAAACAAAAAAACATAAAAGCTTCAAGAAGTAGAAGGCTAGCTTCCAAAGCAAATCCAAACTCACCACCATCAAGCTGTTTCTGACTCACAGTGACTTTACTTAGGTTTCTGAGGCTGTCAATTATTTTGAGCACAGACAGGCTTATCTTTCTTCCAGAGAGTTGCTAGTGGTTTTGAACAGCCGACCTGGTGGTTAGCAGCCCAATGCTTACTTAAGAGTGCCACTAGGGTTTCTAGAAGGCTAGGTTAGGGTTAACTTATTGCTCCTCTATATGAAATAACATTTATATTCCAATTTAAGAGACGATTTATGATCAAGCTTAAGAGACAAGTTGGGGTCAAATCAAATGATAGACACAAGTGCTGCTACTATGTAGAGACTTTATTATTCTTTAGAAAAAGGCAACATTTTTTACTTTAATTTGGGTCTATGGAAAAATTATATTTTGCTTTTAGTAAGAGAAAAAAATTAAATCCTACTGTATGCCTTTGAGTTATTCCCAATTGACAGCGACCCTACAGGACCGAGTACAACGGTCCGACAGTGTCCTGGGCTGTGCATCTTTACAGTGGCCAATCGCCAGATCTGCTCTCTGCTGGAGCCGCTGGTGGGTCCCAGGGTACCACCAGGGTCTCTAACTTATTCCTAGGTGACTGTCTTTCTTTAAGTGTTGATTCACTCATTTGGTAATAGCTAACATCATTTTGATAAATGGTTTATTAACTAAAAGGGACCTAAGTGCTATATGTGTCCCAAAATTATATATAAGGAAAGACTCTATTTGTTTATCCTGCTATATTACAAACTCTAGCTAGAGAAGGGGTGGGAAACATCCAGCCTGTGGACTGGTTATAAGGCCCACAAAACCATCAATACCAGCTAATATCAAACATCACACCAAACAGAAGCAGTCCCAGACATCTCATTAATTACAGCAATGACCTATGAGTGTGTACCTAATTAGACAGAGAAGCTACTTCTCCTGAGTTCTGAAAGCAGTCCTGGGCAACAGAAAAGTGGGTAAAGGGAGACATTGGTCAGTGAAAAGAAAATGATAAATTATCAAGGGTTCATGAGGGAGGGGAGAGAGGGGAAAAATAAGAAACTGATACCAAGGGCTCAAGTTGAAAGAAAATGTTTTGAAAATGATGATGGCAACAAATGCACAAATGTGCTTAACACAATGGATGGATGGATTGTGCTAAGAGCTGTATGAGCACCCAATAAAATGATTAAAAAAAGAAAGAAAGCAGTGCTGGGTAGAGTAAGAGAAAAGCATGTTATAAAACTATAAATCATTAAAAAGACTAGTCTTACATAGTCTTGGCAGAGACTGGTAGAACTCCAGGACTATGGTCCTTAGTCACCTTCTGTGTCTAGAACTGAATTCACCCATGTGACTCAGCTTTTAGACAACAGTCAGATATATAAGGTGAACACAGCACCATAGAGGTATGTGCCTCTTAGATCAATGAACCACACAACAGCGAAAGGGCAGCATGTGCCCAGGGATAAAGCTCAAGGGTCAAGAAGGGATATGAAGACAGATTTAGTAATTACAGAGAGTAAGTGTGCAAAGTGCTGCTATACCAGGGGATTTGAGTCAGTGTCATGAAAGAAAATGTGTATTTATTGTTGAAGGAAAAACTAATTTGCTGTAACTGGAGCCTTAAAATACATGAGCAGCTACCTGGGGTGCAATTATTGATCTCTCCCTATCCAGGGGAAAGAAAGGGTGATGAAAACTGAAAGACACAAGGGCACAATTGAGTCCCATAAATATCAAGTCTCCACAATCCTGAGACCGGAGGAACTGAACGGTGCCTCCCCACCAACCACCAGCTACTCTGAAAAGGATCACATTAAAAAACCCTGGATAGAGTGGGAGAAAAAATGTAGAACAAAACTGAAAACCATAAAATAGACCAGGCTTATTGGTTGGGTCAAGGCTGATGTAACTTTTCAGGTCAGGAACTAAACTTACTCATGTTAGAAGGATCAACCACTTAAGATCAAAAGGGAAGCCTTTACCCAAGGACAAGGGTAGAGGGTTAAGAGAGATGAAGAACGGAAATAGAAACTACAGGGAGGAAGTGGATATATTGATGGGATTGTAATAAATGAGTTAAAGCAAGGTGTGTATGAATTGTTGAATGTAAAACTGATGAGGTGCTCTATAAACCTTCAACT